AATCGATTGGCCACCTTTCGACGCGCATCCCGTTGTTTTCTTGGCGAAACAATCGTCTCGTGTTTGCGCGTCCGACGTGAATCTAGGACTGTGTATAATTTGAGATAAAAAGAAGAAGAAGAAGAAGAAGAAGAAGCAGTTGGAATCAGAATGAAAATAATTGAGATGTTATATGGATGAGGAAAAGACTCGAAATTTTTTGGATGATATAATAATAATAATTATTAATAATCGTCCGCTACGAGGCTCGATAGAGGAACAATAATTATTTTTTGCCGTTTTTTCTCCTATCAGAAACGGAAATGTCTAGAAGTTTCCAATAAAAGAAAAAAACAAACAGCTACGGCAGTGATGAGTGATTGATCCTTCTGAAGAAGAATAAAGAAGAAACGTGCAACGGAGATTGAGAGCCAGTAAAATACTTGGAGAACAATATGGCGAAGAAGAAGAAGAAGAAGAAGAAAAAGAAGAAGAAGAAGAAGAAGAAGAAGAAGAAGAAGAAGAAGAAGAAGAAGAAGAAGAAGAAGAAGAAGAAGAAGAAGAAGAAGAAGAAGAAGAAGAAGAAGAAGAAGAAGAAGAAGAAGAAGAAGAGATATATTCAAGTGGTACCTAAAGCGTAATCGTAATTTTGGTACTGTTATTCGAGTACGAATGCATACGCGTTTTTTTCGAAGAAAGTATAGCGAGCGCGCATGATCGATAGGAAGAGGAGGAGAAAGGAAAACGCGAAGAAGCAATTTTTTTGCGGTACAAATTTCGAGGAAGAGAGTGGGTGTATAGAGATAGAGAGCGCAACCAATGGAAAGAAGATTGTTTACGAATATAAGGAGGAGTAAATATGTCTTTCATGGTCGATTGATGATGTGGCGAGAAGAGAAGAGGCTAAAGAGAACGGATCTGAACGATGACGGAGTGAATGTGAGAGGATTTCTAAAAAATCATTAGAAAAAATGTCTTTTTGAAAACAAAAAGCGCCAAAAAAATCAGAGTATAAATTCAGTGGAGAGTGTGAATGAGAGGGAGAGAAAGAGAATTGAAAGAATGATTGAAGATAAGAGTTAAGAAGGTTCTGACAGAGGAAGATACGGAAGTTTGAAGGTGAAAAAGAAGATGAATATCGAGTGGTAAAGGAGGAAGAAATGTGTAGAGTTTAGGAGTGTTTTTGGTGTGCAATAGTCGCCGAGGAAGCTCAAAGACGTGTCGAGAAGTATAAGTAGATGAAGAAGAAGTTAGGAGAAGAAGAAGAGAATTCTGTGAGGATCCTCTTCCCGTCTATAGACAAGAATTTGGTGCGAGGATCTTTTTGTAGAATTACTAAAAGGAGAGATCTCTTGAGGCGCGAGATAAGTGAGATAAAAAACACAAGTCATAAAGCGACTTCTTTGAGAAATATTTCAGTACAGCACAATTACACACACACACACACACACACACCGTATACCACATTCATACAAAACACATGCAGACATGTCCATATACACATATTGTATTGTACATATGCGAAAAGACAGAAAGTGCAGAAGAAACACAGCCGAGAGATCCAAAAACGTTAGAAAATAAAAAAAACAACAAAAAATGCGCGTTTATGTGTGAGTCACGTGTGGAGAATTCAGATTGAATGAAACACTTGGACGCACATATCTACTACACCATCGCTATAATATACTACATTGTACCATCACGGCATATTAATGGTAGTATTAAAACGCCAGAAGTACGAGAGAACCTTCGTGAGAGGAAGAGAGAGAGAGATCGTACGGAGAGATATACATTGAGAAGTCAGGAGAGAAAGCTGCTGGTGGGTGATGGAACAGCCTGAAAATTTTCTCAACCACCAGGCAACCACACACACCATTTACCATACTACACTCTTCAAAGACGAGATATATATATATACACAAAACAAAATTACACACACGTATATATGTGTATACATTACATGCATATATACAGATCCGCCGCAATTGAAGTTTCTTTGACGGGTTACCTAGCGCGCGAATGAAGCCACTTCTTTGAAGATAAACAAAACACTGTGGAAGAAGAAAAAGAAGAAAATATAGAGCAACGAGAGAGAAAATTTCTAACGTTTCCTGGCATCATAAGACAATCCTGTCTTTTTTTTCTACCTTTCCTTTTCTTTTTTTCCCATCCTTCCCTCCATCCTTTCCCACAAATCCCTTTCGCCTTCATATTCTATCCATTACTTTTTGATACTAACGAAGCAAAAACTTATTGGCCGAGATTGTGCGTAGCTAAGGAAGCAATACAAACTTCGTTCTCTAGCACTTCTCGACGATAATATCACCAATCCTGTTCCTGCCTTATGAACTGTATACTTCATGCATACTACGTACATCCCGTCCACATTTCCTATTTACTATCCCTTTTTTCTTTAGGGCCCTTCTCAGGGCCCGCAAATGACTCACGCACGGAGTAGCGGCTGTTCGGATGAACTAAACATATATACTGAGAAGAAAATCTGTCCTTTTCAGGACACAAACTGACCTTTTCAGGGCGAATAACCTTAACCGTCCTTTTCAGGACGAAAATCGTAACCTGAATGTCCTTTTCAGGGCAAAAATTCTAACCTAAACCGTCCTTTTCAGGGCGAAAATCCTAACCTAAATCGTTCTTTTCAGCGCAAAAATCCTAACCTATATTCCATCTTGGGATTGAAAGCACGCAAGATTCGTTTCAAGATGAAGTTCTGCAAGAAAAGAAGTTGACTCTTGAAAAGGAGAGGGGATATACGAAGCATGGGTACTTTACAAGGTGTGAACTCCTCGGGTTGCTGCAACTGGAAAATCCTGCTTACCATTTTTTTCTTATCATAATATTCTATTGGATTCTAGTTAAGCTGCAGAACTGCTTATCGGGTATGTATGTTTACATTAATATACTGTTTACATGTAAATGACGTCTTTATTACAGCGCACGGTAAACATCGTTAATGTACAAGTTTAATGCTAGTCGATACTTGCAAGTAGTACGTCTGGTGGATAAATCTGTAAGTATGATTTGGCTCGTGACTTAAGCATATTTACGTAAAAACCCAAGAAGGTCATGGAAGAGATCCGCTGTAGAATGTTCAGGAAGCTTGAAGTATGTCACGTTTCACTAGCAAAGTGAGTTCTGTGTTCTGTTTCCTAACCGCATATCAAATATTTCTTATCACGGTCGAAGTGTTTTGAAATTTTTTAAAACGTTCATGTACTACTCGAACGAATTATCAATGCGATCCTAATTGCTTCCAATCATTCCATTATCTACTTTATACGTAATGGCGTGTTTTCTAATCGTAAATATGTCTTATCACGTGAGTCATTCAAGGAAATGAAACGACAGAAATTGCGTAGGAATATAAGAATTATCGGGTTTAAATTCGCGATTGCATTTCAGAATTTGCATATTTGTTGACTCATTCGAAAATAACCACGACCTTGACAATTATAACCTATGAATGTTTAATATGTAATCTATAGTTTAACTCTGTATCTGTTCGAACAGTTGAAAAGGTTAAAATCATCGTGTACAATACGAGATAGAAGGGGTTCTTTTGATAATTACATGGAATTTATAATGAAATGTTATTTACAGAAATATTGCCAAGAATAATAAATCTAGTTCAAATATAACTTCCGTACGTTCGACCCATCCATTCTCGTTCTATTTCGCATTGTTGTGGCTTTTCTTTATGCTCGAACAATTCCCCTACCACGAACATCGTAAAGCATGGTGGGGATGCATCATAACAGAAACAAACGCTTGGTTTTCAGCAGAACATAATGTACGCCTACCCAAGGTGCAGCCAAGGAGAGTGCTGATTTTTATTCAACCAACTCGATTGTGTGATATCCATCTTCTTCCGGGACTGGTCGGTTTATTTTTTAGAGAAACGAAACAGGGATGTTTTTTTACATTTGTTTTTTTCATATTTTCTCTTTTGTGTATTCTATTACGCTAACCATTTTTTTGCACGTTCCAATATTTTAAATGTACATCAAAATGGCGGGACAATACGATACGTTGAATTCGTAAATAAAAAATGTAAGCAATCATATTTATGTGTTTACGCGCGGATTGTATCTGCTGAACGTGTTTTGATGTTTCATGCTCATGCGTATATGGGACGTAGAAGACGTGGATGAGTAATCGAGATAAGACGTCACGAGTTGAAAACTGAAAGGAAACGAGTAAATAACAGTACTGTTGGCAAGGGAAGCTAACTGTGTTCATTTGGCTGTGATAACTTTATTGTACCGAGTACTGTCTGTTATATATTTTACATTGTTAATAAATCTGTTTTTAAATAGCAAAGAAACAATCACTTTTTTTTACTTGTGACCTTTTGCTTGTTTGTAAGAGTTTCTAAAAGCTTTTTTTACCTTTCTGCATATTAATGAGTAGTAAGTCATGTGTAACGGTTTTTTACCGAGCTTTCACTCGCTAGAGAATATCGTAGAATATATCGGCATGGTTAAAACGTCAGACAAATATGTATTTTAAATTAAAATATTTTTTTTATGGATATTATTATCGACCTCATACGCGAAATGTTTAACTTCACGTGTTCAAATATTTCACTTTCATTCTATTTCAAATTTGTTGGGTTTTACGCAGTTCCTTTGCTTGATTATTCACCAGAACCATAACTATTACTTCTTTCATGCAATTTTCGCAATGAATTTGTCAAGTTATTTTTGTACAATGAACTGTGTACATTGAAACCGTGTTACGATATTTGAATCACGGAATATCTGATATAATAATCACCTGCTATTAATATTATGTCTAACTTTAACACGTGTTACTATATTTATTAGAAAGGAAGTCGAAACTGGAGCGGGGTGTTTCGAAAACACTTGGTTTTCATACAAAAGTAGTATATTTTGTTATACAATAAATATGCAACATTAAATTACGCGAATTTCAAGAAAGCAATATTAGTAATACAGTGACATAACATGAAAATAGTTTTACAGTGCAGTCTTATATTTTGCTTAGAATAATTGTCTTGGGATTTTCCAAATTTCGATATTTCCTTGGGCGTCGCCAATAGCCACCATACCTCTATAAAACATACGAGTTATGTATCATGAATTGTTAGTCACATATTATTAATACTTACTTCTTCGAATTCACACGTAGACAGCTAGTGTTTTCTCTGTTAGTACTTTCAAAATTCACGTTTGTTATGACTTTACCATCGGTGACGTTGTATAATCCTATATTAGAGCCAGCGCCATAAGACGCCAGTATATCTTGATTTCCTATCATCCACGTTAATCCTACGATTGTATTTTCGGTAGAAATCGATCGCAGGCATGTGTGCTAGATTGTGTAAATAAAGATTCGTATCTGTCACGACATTTAAAATACATTGATAAATTACAGACAAAAATATTTAACCTCTTCGAAGTCGTATATACGTAATTCCTTGTCTGTGCTGGAAGTAACAAAGAGATTATGAATGGGAGAACATTTAATGCACGTAATGCTGCCCTCGTGTCTTTCATACTCGTCTATCACGGGATCCATGAGAGTTTCGTCTCCTGTAATTAAAAATCAATCATTAACTTAATGCAATAAAATGAAATTGAATAATTCATGAGAAAAATCCACACCTTCAATAGGAGCAATGCGATCTAAGCTACACTTGTATATTCCACCACATAAAGTACCTACAATGAAGAATATAGGATCTCTAGATGAAAAGTCAAAGGTGGTAATACATAATCCAGATTCCACAGCACGTTCGCGTGTTCCACCCGCACTACGTGGTCTTGAGCTCTCTATTGGATTATGCTCTTTAACTACTTTCAGTCTAGAAAAGAGTAATGTGATTGTAAATGCCTTCTAGAACATGCAAGTGATTCTGAAGGGAATAATCACCGTTTGTATACGCGAGCAATCGTAAAATTGGCCACCATCCTGTGGATAAAGATGTATCCGTCTTTACTAGAGCTAACTAGCAATGATACATCATTTATGGTTCTTGCTTTCCAATATATTTGAGATACAGAATCACCATGGGTGCAAATTGTTGTTGGTGTCATTGATCCATCATCCCCTCTTAAGTTCCATACAAGAACATCACCTTTATGTGAATAATATTTATAATTATTTCCATTTGTAAATATATGTATTTCTCTAGAAAGTTGTTTAAGTTACCATTGAACAAGCCAGCTGCTATAATGGATGGTTCAGTTGGATGATAAGCTAGTGTTGTGACACAGGCATTTGTTTCTAATGTTTTGTTTGGATTCTCTGTAAAGTTACCCTCCTTTGTCTGATTATAAAGTTGCAATTTAGACAGATGGTCACACCATGTTTGGTGATAAGAAATGCCATGAGAAACAACTAGAGTTCCTCCTCCAATACTCCAACTTATATCGCTTACTTTCATCTAACAGTATAAATAAATAGAATAAAAGCTCAAGAAATATTTTTAAATACAAAAAATAAGTACCTTGGAATCTGATTCATTAGTGCTATGAATCTTTTGGAGAAGTTGTGTGGTTGTAAGTGTATCTTCATCAGTCTTTGGCTCATAATCTTCAAATGCATTGGTTCCACATGATTCATCTAAAGCTTCTAATATGCTTGGTGCAACTCTGTTCAGAAATTGAGCCAACCTACCATAGTTTATATCTGGCTTCTTTTTTTCTTCAGTTATCGTTTGGGTCTAAAACCGGCGAAGTTACTCAGCTACAAATTACTTATATGCTTAAAAGTACATTTATAGATACCTCGACGGTTCTTGTTTCGATTGTTTGTACGGGTTTATCATCATAAACAATTTCCGTTGTCTGTACGTCTGTCGATTGCTGCGATCTGAAAAATGTTGAAGAATTAAAATAACAGATACCTAAAATAAAGAATAATTTAAACATACTTCGTTGTAGATAGTTGTGAGTTGAAACTCACGGCTTCGAGAGAACGATCACTAAACATTATTAAAAGTATTGATTTTGTAAAAGTATGTATATTAAATTGTTTAATAAATTCTTAATACTTTTATACAATTGTTAATAAAAAAAAAAAACAAGAACAATCAGTAGAATCTTATTAATAGAGTCCTTTTATTCAGCAGGTTCTGCATCAAAGATGCATATGTGCGAGTTCACAAGTATGAATCAGCTGATGGATATTATAGCGCCATCTAAATGCAACTATTTTGATTAAAACTCAATGTATTTGGCGGTAAAGAAACATATACAGTAATAAAATTCTAGTTTCACCGCAAATTCTTATTTATTTTAATATATAAGAGAATAGATTAAGGCTACGTAGTTTTCAACACTATTTGATAGAATAATAAAGTCACTAATATTTTCGATATTGTAACCTAAATATGAATCAACGTAATTACAAGATAGAAGAACGAATAAATAAGCTACATAAAATTACGAAGGACCTAAAACATTACGAAACCTGTGCATATAACTCAAATACAGGTAGTCGAATGTTGCGATAAAAAATGACAGGCAATTAAGTAAAGGAATGGAAGGAGGAATATTGAACAACATTGTAATGAAATTTAAAATACAACTGAACAATTCAAAGTATAGTTAGATTAAATTAGTGCAAGTGAATTTTGTAAGGGCACCATGAATTGCCTATTTCAATTGCTATGCATTGCGCGCGCACGTTACATGGCGACGGTATCGTACCGTAGTCCATCAGTAAGAGTACTGTCCTCCGCGGTTTTCCAAGGAAAATTCGCCATTCAGTGATTAGTCGCGTCTGATCGCCTCGTTACGCGTTCGACTAACAAGTCGAGGTTATTTTCGACGGATCTGTTCAACTAAATCGCCAAGACGAAGCTCAAAATGTCATTGGTAAGTTCGTCTACCTTTCGCTCGGTCTTTCTCCCCTTCTTTTACAATCGGTCTGTCAGCGATGCATTCTCGTTTCGTCATTGTTTTGGCATCACATTTATTTCGAACATACGTTTTGTCATTTTAAATTTCATTGTCATTCACTTATCGACAAATGTCGAGTTTGCTATGGACGATTTTTGACACAGTGATTTGGGTGCGGTTTTGTGGTTAGACACCCCGTTTAAAACAATATGAAGTATTGGTTAATGTGCGGAAAATAATAGAAGAATAAGTGTTCGTTTGTTGAGCGACGTTTCAGTGAAATATCTATTGGATTTATTTTGTAGGGCAATCACGCTGCCCTTACACCCCTGGAGGACATGTCAGCTGGTCGGGGGCAAGCATGTGGGGATCCCTCGATTTGTCAGAAAGTTTTTATACAACGTGACTACAGTGAGGGTACTATGGTTAAGTTTCAAACACAATTTCCCAGGGAGTTAGAGAGCAGAGTATGTATTAAAAGCTTAATTTTATTCTTATTTTGTCATAAAATATAGATCATTTGGAAATACTTGCTTTAATTTTCTTTATTTAATTACAATCATGGATTACATGTTCTTTTATGGTTTCTTGTCATTTCTTATTATCATTTTATTACTATATATACTTACCATGGGATGAGCAGTTGCAGAAATATAATGATATTCTTCATTGGCTTAGTATTTTGTGTGTGCATTAATAGGCAATAGTGTATGAATTAATGTTTAATCTATAGGAAATTTTTTGTTGTCTTATTTTTCAATTTAGCTGGACAGGCAGTTGTTTGAGAACACGATCACTCAGTTGAACAACTACTTCGAGGAAGCAGAACAAGCCAGTTGTTCCACGTATTGCGAAAGCTGTTTAGCTTGTCTCACTGGTTACCTAATTTATATATGTACAGAGACTCATTATGAGAAGTGTTTAAGAAAGGTGGCTAAGTTTGTTAGTGAACAAAATGACAGAGTCTATAAGCCACGTGGTCTCCTATTATCAAATCCAATAATGCGTGGTCTTAGGCTAATAGAAATTTCAGTACTGGACACACCTGCGTCGTGACTGCATATTAGCCGATCCAGGGAGTTCTTTATGTGATCCACGCACTTCTGCCATTTTGCCAGGATTGCAAAACCTATATGAGCTGATGAGTGTCTCTGGACATAATTTTGTTCAAGCTCCGAACCTCTTATGATTTAGTTTTGTGCAATGTGAATTTCACAGAGATTCACCAGTAACAAGAAAACATTTACATTTTCAGCAAATGGTTCTGTAAACATACATGCAATGTCTCGACAAAATGCTTAGAATAAAAGTTGATTTTTTTGATGTGATACACCATAAGAATCAACTTTTTTGTTCTAAGGTAAATTTTGTATTCCACTTGGTGGAATTAAACAAGTTTCATGACATTTCATAAGACTTTGAACTTTGAAATAACATGTATGTTTTTGCTCGATTGGAATTATTGTATCCAGTGTCCATTCACTAAGTTCAGACAAATCATGGACACCAAGGCCATGGCTTTGTATAAGTTCAATTTTCTATGCCTATAATAATGTACCAGTGTAAATGATCAGTGCAAAAGAACCAGGTGTGTGTTCACAGTAGGCAATTACATGTTTTACACATTAAGTGCATAGTACCAGGAAATTATTCACAGAGTTTCTATACACCTGGTTTATTTGCACATCGAGCAATGTTTAAACAGTTTTTTACTGTTCGTTTAAAGACTTTTATCGCCATCTGCATTTAACAGGCGACACGTGTGAATCAAATTCGACTTGTTCCAAGACTCAGAACCGTTTTGATCTCGAATTTGATTCAGCATCACCGTCAAGTACTGAAAAAAACATTATTTCGCGTCACTATAAGTTTCGAACGCTTCGTTGAACTTCGTTAAGCTTAATTCTCTTCCGCGTTGTATCTTCCACCGATGCTTCTGTTCCACGACCATATCTCGCGGACTTTTCTCATTATGAACACGAATACGAGCCAGGGATTCACTTGCCGTGGATGTGACACCTCTCCGGAACAATCAAAACAATCGAATTCGATCAAAATTGCTGGCACAAAGTTTTTGCGCTAAGAAATCTCCGTTGGATTGGCTAAGGGGAAATTGTACAAAAAGAACAAAACAAAAAAAATATAAGAAAAAAAGAAACGAAAAGAGGTGATGACTAAATGTAGGTTATGTTGTTTCGAAGAATCAATGTGACGGTGCGAGCATCGTGATTAAGGATGAACCACATGATTTAAATGCACCTGTGCAAAAAGGTGTCGGTTGTACATAATTATACCCCGTCGTATGCGTGATCCTTTTGTTTTATATTTTTCTACGAACCGCGCGAGACACGGCGAATTATTTTCGAATGTCTCGCGGCCGCGTGCTCGATCTTTCATCGATACTTTTTCGATTTGATTCGTTTCGAGAAACGACATGATCTCAATTAAAAGAGCCACCAGAGATGTTTCTGCTTTATGATGTTATCGATAACGATCAGTATCGTCCACTAAAGATGTTTCAGTGGCTGTTTCAGTGTCCAGGTATATATATTTACCGCGTCACAAAGTGAGCAAGGTTCATTTTTTACTGCGCCTAGGGTAATTCGGTCTCGTCCTTGGTCACGATGATCAAGCTGGAGCCTGTCCGACGTAATTATGCGACAAGGTGAAAGAATCTTGCCAAATAGCCACGCCACTGCCTCGACATTTTACCTTCCGTTACTAACGATCGAGTGAATTCGAAAAAGAGATTAAAATATATGAAAAACAAAAACGAAGGGCAGAAAAGAAAACAGAAAGTGCGAAGCAATCTAAACGTGTCTGAGGAATATAACCTATATTTCATTCAATGAACTATTTGTCGAACAGTGTCGTAGTGTTACGAGTGTCAGGCTCTGGACATTTTTTTCCCTATGCAACCGGACGTTGCATAATGTGTAAATAGCGAATTAATCGTCGACACACGGAGTATCTTAAGAGAAAAGAAGAAGTTGAAGATGGTGAAGAAGAAGAAGAAAAACCGTTTGTTATACTTAATTTTATCGTAGGACCAAAACGTTTGATGATTCGTTACTGTGTAAAGGACACCATCGTTCGAGTGTAATTTCTAAATGTTTTAATAATAAAAAGCTGCGTAAATGTTACGGAACCAAGGACTACTCTTCGAGAGGGAATAAGGAACAAAGGTGAATTTTTTTTTTTTAATATGCGTCTTGTGCCACCGTGGGTCATTGATGACCCATGAGTACGAAGGAAAAAGAGAAAATCTGCATTTTTCAAAAATCAGAATTACCAAAAATGACATTCTTTTTTTTTTTTTTGTAAAATATAATCATTAATAAACGATACTTATGTCATAAGTTACCAGTGACCCACGATACTCATCGAATATGGTGAAATATTCTTTAACACGTTATTCCATTTTTGAAAAGAATTACAGCTGGAAGTATCGAAAATTTAACAGTATCTCTATTTTTCTATAATTAAACACATCTAACCCAACTTTTTTCCGTTCAATTTCATTCGTCGATTGTACGTCAGAGATTCGCGGGGAATTTATCGAAAATTTCTGGAGATGGTGGAATAATTGAAGGACAGAAACGTTAGTGTTTTGAGCACATTCAGATTTTTATTTTATTCGTGTGCGATGGTCTTCTGACAGGCATGTTCGTACACATTAGTAGTAGCTATATCAAAAGACTAGAAACCAGTCTCGCTCTTGTCGCCATGTTTTTTCTTTTTCTTTTTTTTAATTCTTGCTTTTTAAAAACACCGCACTCGAACCGTCCCTCGAGATTAATTGATTTTCTCGTCTCTGTGTAGTAATGCTTCTCCACTTGAATACCTGTTTTACAAGCGTCACTGCTAACCGTTTAAGTCACGAATAGTTTAAACATAGAAAAAAAAAAAACCACTTTGTTGATTCAACTGAAAATTCATCGAGCATTTTTCCCAGGATTTTTGCCTCTCGTGAATATTTAAAATCTGTATAGAGAGAACGTAAAGGTACACGTGTAATAATAGGAAAAAAGAAGGAACGAAGAGTAGAGAGAAAAGAAAACAGAGGGAAAAAAAAAAGGAAAAAGAGGTAAAGGAGTATATAATAAGCGTCACATTCTTGAATTATAGAACGCGAAAGATCGCGATTGTACCTGTTCATTGCGTCAGTGACGCGAATTTTTACGAGTTGGCCACGTGACGCAACGGAATTATTAATTAAATCGTGGGCATCGATTCGTCGCGGATCATCCGCCATTTTAGAATCGAGACGTTCCTCGTAACGTGTCATCGGGAGTCCAACTTTGTATATATTTTTTTTTTCATCTTTTTCTTATATAAAAATGCCCATTCGCTACGGTATTATTATTATTGTTTCATTTTTTTTTCTTTTTTTTTTTATAAATCGAGATTATCCTACTTGATCGTTCACCCCTCGTTGAATTGTTTTTTTTCTTCTTCTATCCTCCGAATTATCGCTAATAAGGTATCGAGATATATAATACAAAAAAGATTGTCAAAATTGAATCCGTACCGTCTCCGATCGTATTCTAACGCTTCTTATCTCTCTTCTGAGCGGTGAAAGTCGCCTAAATTCGTCGCGTTTTACTACCTAGCCATCGACTACTATGTACTCGCCTAACTTTTTCCCTCCTAAGAGACTCGCGACAGTCTTGGGAATATTTATCCATTCTCTTTTTTTCTTGTTTTTTTTTTCTTTTCTCTTAATTACCGAAATTCTGTTCGTCGATTCACACGTTACTTGTTGTTGTTCAGTTACTTTTTGATTTTTCGATGGTGTGCGGTAAACAGGTTTCTCGAGGTAGAACTATTGTTCGATCAGATAATTGCACTTTCTCAAGTGCAAAGTAACTTCTCCAGTCTTTCTATTAGTCGGCTCGCGTTTCTCTTCGTCTTCGATCAGTCTCAAATTACCAGGTCAGCCCTTCCTATTTTCCAATTAACCAGCTCGTATTCCTCAAGTCTTCCGAGTTTCTAAGTGATCTGCTCACTTTTTGTCAACTCTCAGTTTCCATTTTTCTTAACTCTTCTAATTTTTCATTTAATCTGCCCACTTTTTCTCAGCTCTTCAAATTTTCCAATTAATCAGCTGATTTTTCTCAACTCTTCAAATTTTCCATTCAATCAGCTCACTTTTTCTCAACTCTCAATTTTCCATTTTTCTTAACTTTCAATTTTTCATTTTTCTCAATTTTCCATTTTTCTCAACTCTTCCAATCAATCTGCCCACTTTTCTCTACTCTTCCAATTAATCAGCTCACTTTTCTCAACTTTTCTTAAAATTCTCAAACTTTCTCAAATTTTCTCAAACTTCTAAATTTTCCAATTTCCCAATCAGCTCACTTTTCTCAACTCTCAATTTCCATTTTTCTCAATTCTTCCAATTTTCCATTTTTCTCAATTTTCCATTTTCCTCAACTCTCAATTTTACATTTTTCTCAACTCTTCCAATTTTCCATTTTCCCCAACTCTTCCAATTTTCCATCCAACCATCCCACTTTTCCCAACTCTTCCAATTTTCCATCTAACCAACTCACTTTCCCTCTTCCTTCACCTTGACCAGTTTCAAACCAGCCGAACGATTCACCCAACTGGCAGACCCCATAAAGATCCACCACAGACACCTCTCCAATTTTCCACAATTTCTCACCGTTGAAACCAGCGGACTCAGCTAACCGGCAGACTTAATCAGGTCCGCCAAAGCTATTCATCTGAATTGTTTCTTCATTAAAATCTCTTGTTATTCATCTGCGTCATTCCGGAATGCTCTCTAGAGTGGTCGACGTAAGTCGTCAAATGAGTAGACACAATTTATTCCTGCTCTTTCTATCAGGAATCAAAGCCTTCGATTTAGCAGCGTCCTCGGGTGTACTTCTCGCGTAAAGTGACCTGCTTATTCGATGTCTAACTCCTTTGCTCAATGTTCGTCCACCTTTTCGCAACGAGGCGAATCTTCCTAACGCAGACTTCTCAGGAACGTCTTTTCTGTCTGAATGAGCACAATTGAGAGTCGTGACGGTGAATTCTATGTCTTTCGGTTCGTACGAGACGAATTCTTCGACTGGATCGTCGATTGTGTCGCGATCGATCCACGTCAAACCCATCTCGACTTTTTCTGCCAGGTCTTGCCAGTGCTTCCGGTTCTCCATTGTGCCCTCGTACAGCGGCATGATCCAGGGGAAGGTGTCTGCGAGGACTTTGTACAGGGGTATGCAAATTACGTCGATGAAACCCACTTGCATTTGTGGTAACTCGTCTTTTCTCTCGCGATCCATCATGGCGACTGGTTGCTGGTTCAGTTGGAGACGTTCTAGATCACCTTGGTCGAAGAACTCGTCGGCGACGAGTTTGGCTACGCGGTGTTGCACTTCCCAGGGCTTTGCTATGGCGCTCACGTCGCAGGCTGTCATCATCATTCCACAGAGTACTGGAAGTTGGAGGAAAGTAGTCAGAGTTAGGTGTAGGATGATGGTCAATTTGGTATTAGTTTGGGTGTAGAGTAGTAGGTTGGAGTTAGTACATTAATGATGGAAATTTAGGTGTAATAGACAAGGTAGTAGTAGAGATATTAGATTTGCTATAGTTTTTGATAGAAGAGAAGATAAAGTTAATAATGAAAGTTGGGTGATAGGTACACAGAAGTGAAATTTAGGTATAATAGTCAAGGTGGTAGTAGAGATATTAGATTTGATAGTGTTTTGGGTGTAGAACAGTATATGGATTCTGTATTTTTTTGTAGAAGAGAAGATTAAGTCAATAATGAAAGTTAGGTGATAAGTAAAAGCCAAACTTAACTATAATAGTCAAAGTGGTAGCAGAGATATTAGATTTGCTACTGTTTTTAGAATAGAACAGTAGATAGATGCTGTAGTTGATGATATTGTTAATAAAGCAATATACAGTCTAGAAGAGAAGGTTGAATTAATAATGAAAGTTGGATGATAGATAGAAGCCATATTTAGATACAGTTTGATGGTCTAGTTGGTATTATTTTTAGTACAGAACAGTATCTAGGTGCTGTAGTTTCTAGTAAAAGAGAAGATCAAGTTAATAATGGAAGTTAGGTGATAGATAAAAGTCAAACTTAACTATAATAGTCAAGGTGGTAGCAGAGATATTAGATTTCCTCCTTTTTATAGAATAGAAGAGTAAATAGATACTAGAATTACTTTTATTATCGATATAAAGCAATATATAGTCAAAAAGAGAAGGTTGAATTAATAATGAAAGTTGGATGATAGATAGAAGTCATACTTATATACAGTATGATGGTTAAAATGATATTATTTTGAAAATTAGCGAAAGTTAGTTTCTAAATAGGGTAATATTTGCAAGTTAAATTTAAGTTATTCTTCGAAAATAAGTATTTAATTATCATCGATAGATCTTACGTTCTTTCTTCTCTTCACTCTGCCAGTCGAACTCTCCCTCATCGATCAGTTCCATGAACTTATTCTTCTTCTTAAAATAAACCGCCAAATCAGTGGAAAGAATCGCACTTTCGACCACTTTCATCACCTTTCTGTAATCCTCCATCGATAAATTCTGGAAGATATTATTGCTGTCCGAATTCAAGATCATCACACATTGATCGAAATGATGATGCTCCATAGTGCTCGTCGAGTAAAGAATAGCTAACGGAGACTCTGTTTTCGTTTGAAACGCGTTGTTGGTTCCTCGATGATCTAGATCGTGGCATAGACAGGCAACCAAGAGTCCCAATATTTCTAGATCGGTCATAAATTGCTCCATTTTGCCAGTTTTCAACATGGCGAACATTGTTTGAGCGACGTTCAAAGCGTGCCTCCAATTATGATACTTTACTGGCCTGTAATATTCGAGATTTGAACATTTTGACGGTGTTATCTAGAAATGTTTACTTTTGAATATATTTTTATATTGAAAAATTTTTCACCTGTAATTCTTCTTCACGCTGAGAACCCATCTGCATAGAACCTCGTAGGGAATGTGGAACTTTCCGATCAGGTCACATTGTTTGAACATTCGAATGGTAGCCCTACAGGTGTCTTCATCTGTTAGATCGAAATCGATGAAGGTGAAACTGTACAGATTGAAAGATTCCGCGGATGGTATAGGTTCTGAGGTCAGTTTTAACGTGTCGTCGTTGCTGGCTGTTGCGTGGTAGCTTAGACATTCCAGGGCAACTTTTTGCTTGGCCATTAGCTTGCAAGCTGACTCGTACATTTGGGTATTGTGGATACCGAGACCACAGAAAATGGCGAACGCCTCGAAGATCGACACGTCGGAGTCTGTGAACGATGTTCCGTTGTCCTGTGGAGGAATATGAAATTTTCAAATCTTCGAATTGCCGAATTAAATTTCCAAACTTTCAAATTTCCAAACTTTAAAATCTCCAAACTTTCAAATCTCCAAACTTTCAAATTTTCAAGTATTCAAATTTCGAAACTTTCAAATATTCAAATTTACAAACTTTCAAATTTTCAAATATTCAAATTTCCAAACTTTCAAATTTTCAAATATTCAAATTTCGAAACTTTCAAATATTCGAATTTTCAAGCTTCCAAATTTCGAAACTTTCAAACTTTCAAACTTTCAAATTTTCAAACTTTCAAATTTCCAAACTTTCAAATATTCAAACTTTGAAACTTTCAAATATTCAAATATTCAAATTTTCAAACTTCCAAACTTTCAAATTAGGAATCTTCAAATCTAAAAATTCCCCATTCCGGATCATCCGATTAATAACAAGGAAATACATAGTAACCTTATTGATCAATTGTGCCACGCCAATCACAGTCCTCTGCCCGTTTACAATGGGCATGCATAGGATACTCTTGATAGGTTCACTTCCGGACTGAACGACGTCCTTCTTCAGCCACGTGGCCACGTCTCCAATATTCAGGATCTGGCCAGTGGCGGCGACGTACTTGGCGATTTGTCCCAGTGGAGTCGAGAGTTCATTTCCACTGGGTCTGTACACTTTCGCTTCTTGAGTCTCGTTGTCCATCTCGAAGATCGTGGTGAACTTATTGTGGTCGTTCAATGCCTAGAAATATTCGTTTTATTTTGCAAAATAAAAATTATGCCAAAGATCCAACGTATGATGATTTTCAAAAATCCAAATAACATTTTCCAAATAGCTTCTTTCAAGATCTGATACATTATCTATGTACCTATTAGCTTGTTCATATAATAATTGCTATTGTGATCGTGAGAATATTATTAAAAAAAAAAATTGAATAATTAATAAATTACATTATACAATTATTCTTTAAGTAAA